TAGAGTAAACAAACCATACCCCAGTTGGGAAGTCAGGTGAATACAGTATGTCTAGTAGGGCTGTACATGTCTTGAAAATGATTATAAAGAAGTGTTTTGAACATACAGGAGCAAAAGTACAGGAGTGTATGTGTGTGTGTGTATGTGTATATGTGTGTGTGTGTGTGTGTGTGTGTATATAATAGAAATTTCAACCAGTTGATTAAAGACAGTGTAGCTTAAATCAGTTCACTCATTAAAGCTGCCATGTCTTTTTTCATTCTTCCAAGTAAGACTAGAAAAAAAAATAGCTTCTTTAAGATGATGTGCTAGTCCTATTCCCACATATTTCAACACATGTAAACAGCTTTCTGAAAATTTCAGGATCTTCATCTCAAAAGTTTCAATTTTTGCAGGACTGCAAAGGTTTGGAAATATTTCTAACAACACAACTTCAGAAATAAAAGTCTTAGATGATAAATATATTTTTTAAGCTGAGTCATTCCACCATGAATTATGGAAGTATGAAAAATAGAGTTTATTTGCAGAAGACAATGAAAGAAGAACACAAGTATTTAAGGATGCCTTTTATCATTATAGAAGAGTAACCAATAACGGCAATAGTCTCTTTCTCTATATCTAGCCCCAACTGGTAGAATGTTTCTATGTTTGACAAAAGTCCTACTTTCTGGGTTCATATTTATTTAATTACCTAAGACATTTCTAAGATCAAATGTATAGTTATAGTAATGGTTGTGGAAATCCATTCAATATCAAAATCCAGAGAAAATGAAAACATCAACCCACCAGCCACAGAGGTTGTAGATACCACTTTCCAAAGTTAAGCCATAAATTATTTTTAAATAAATAAAAAACACCATCTTGTTCATTTATGGACAGGCACTGCCTCGTTCTGTGTGTAATGAGAATTGCTATCCAGGTTCTGTCAAGAGAAAGAAGGAAGGCAAACCATTTTGCTGCTATGAGTGCTTTCCATGTCCAGAAGGCCAGATTTCAAACCAAAAAGGTAAGGATGTCAGAGAACATAGCAATTGAATCTTGATAACCTTGAGATTCTTATTATAAATTTAAGATTAACTTTCAATATGTGTGGATTTTCTGGGAGTAGTTTAGACAGCGCAGTTAAGTTATTTGGTTAAGTCAGAGCTTAGGTCATGGCTAAATTATTCAATATAGCATTTGTGTCAAAGGCTCGGCAGACAATCAGCTGATAAGCCATTTTCAAGGTGGCTGAACAATACAGGATATCTACAGAACTTCCTGCTTTCATATACTCTGTATTCTGGAGGATCTTCTTTTAGTTGCTTAAAAGAATTGCCTGTTCTCTCTCCTTTATGAAACCTCTTTACATATTGATTTCCCATAACCTTTTAGGAAGTTGAACTGTTTTATTTGTGCATATGAGCACCCCTGAGAGTGGGAACCTGACCAATGATTAGTGAAGCAGGTTTTATAAGTACTGTATAACAGAAAGGAGATTTATTTACAAGAAATATGTTACAGGAATAGACCAAGCCTAGCACCTAGCCAACCACATCCTAAGAGGAGAAGAATCAAGCAGCAAGTGCTCTGTGCATGTGCCAGGAAAGAAAGGCAGAAGGTAGTGACCGCTGACTAGCCATTTCATATATTCATATATCAGAAGCGGAGTTGCGGATGGTGCTGAATCAGGAATAAAGCAAATCAGAATCATCCATTTCACCTATTGTGGGATTAAAAAAAAATATACCAAATGGCCACAATACATGGGAATTTGCACAGAGTCAATGCATAGCTCTCTTTAAAAAGAAAAGAACAACAAAATAACAGAAAAAAATAATCCAGGCATCAGTGAAAACAACAACTAGCCTGAGGATATAAATGGAGTACTGAAGTGAGAGAGCTTCCATATACAATCATATATACATGTCAAAGCTTGTAAATTATGCATCAGTTTGATATTTTAAAAATATAATAGTATGAACAGGCTTATGGAGTTCTTGTTTTTCCCCAAAACATTCATACAAATTTGAGCATTGTTTGCAGAAATGTTACAGATATCAGTGATCTCTTTGATTGCTTTTTCAGATATGGATATCTGTTTCCAGTGTCCAGAAGATCAGTATCCAAATCCTGAACACAGTTTGTGCATTCCAAAAACAATGAGCTTCTTATCTTATGGAGAACCTTTAGGGAGCGGTCTGGTCATTCTTGCTTCTTCCTTTTCTCTCATAACAGTT